GTGAACTTTAAGGTCTGTTCCAGCCAATTCTGTGATTCAGTGATTCATCATACGGTTTATGACTCCACGTTGTCTTGGGTCACTCCCTGTGATTCCGGCGGGTGAAACTCCACGGATCACTGCTCGGGACACGCAGCGTTGCGGGCACATCCCTGCCCTGTGCCCCGGGAGCTGTGCCCCGGCACGCCCAGCGCGGAGCGGAGCAGCTCCTGCACGCACACGCCGGGCCGGTCCCGCCGCCGGGACGTGTCCCCACCCCGCGGCCCGGGGCTGTGCCCGAGGGCTGGGACACGGGAGCGGTGCCAGGGACACGGGAACGSTGCCAGGGACACGGGARCGGTGCCAGGGACACGGGARCGCTGCCAGGCTGCTCCTCCTCGGGCCCGGGCTGCTGGGGCAGGGGGTGCCCACCCAAATCCCGCTGGGAGCGCCAGCCTGTGTCGGTGGCTGCTCCTGAGCCCGTGGAGCGAACGGGAAGTGGCACSCACAGATCCAGCAAAATCATGGAATAACATGGTTTGAGTCGGGAGAGACCTTAAAGCCCWTCTGYTTCCACCCCCTGCCCTAGGCAGGGACACCTTCCACCAAGATGTGCTTGATCMCTTTGGGGTCTCCTCTTGGAGAGASCAYAGTGTTCTTCCCCTTKAGATTGTGCAGGATTGACTTCACCATATCCCCCAAACCCCTTMAAAAATACCAACTTTTGATTTGATTTATATGGCTGATGTCCTGCACATGCAAGGCAAACCCCATTGGAGCTGCCAAAGGGAAAGGGTTTGGTGTCTTTAGGAGAACAGGAGGTTTCCTGGACTGCAGAATTATTAAGGGATCAAGTTCTTCTTGCTGGTGAGCAGTGACAGGAACGGCTGGAGCTGTGCCAGGGTGGGTTCAGGTTGGATTTTTGGGAAAGGTTCCTCCCCAGAAGGTGCTGGCACTGCCCAGGCTCCCCAGGGAATGGTCCCGGCCCCGAGGCTGCCAGGGATGCACAGGGGGGGATTGTTGTGGGGTCTGGGCAGGGCCAGGGGTTGGATTCTCAGGATTTTCCATGTTCTGTGACGTCATTAACAGTTTTTGAGGAAGCCTTTGCTCTTTCCTGCAGCCAGCCAAGAGGGAGGGTGCCAAGGAACACGTGCCACCCGTGGCCTCTCCTGATGAGAGGCTGTGCCAGGGTACAGCCTGCTGACCCCAGGGCTCAGAGTGTCCCTGCCTGCGCTGGGCACGGCCACAGTTCACACTCTGATGATTAAACCAGCAGATAATGCTGCTAATKATCATACTGGATTGGGATTTATGGCAAACCCCGATCCCGCTGGATGCAGCTGGTTCAGTCTCCTCTCTCACTAGCATGGGATATTTATCTAAACACAGAGCTAAATATTTGCAGGGCTAAAATTAACCTCAGGATGTGGACATGAGTGGGTTTTGCCTTGGCTCTGCTCYGTGTGACCATTTCCGTGCTGGTGAGTTCATTAAATCAGGCAGCACGAGACCACGAGTGGTCAGAAGAGTAGAGGAAGGTGATGTTGGGAGCTTTAAGGTCCTGCCTTTGCCCTTGAGCCGGAATCAGCCTCTCTTCCCACTGCCTCAGAGCAGCTTTTTGTGCTTTCAGGAAATGGCTTTTGATGCTTTTGTTCTGACAGAGCAAAGAGTTGAGGGGAGGGTGCGACAGTGCTGAGGTGGTTCTGCTTTCCTTTTCTAAAGAGCTGAGAGTTTCTTTTGGGGTTTTCTCCCAGGATCCATCAGTCAGGAACGCAGATCTCAAGAGTTGTGTGAAAATGAAGTTCAGGTGGTGGAACACGGGACAGGGTCTGGAATTCTCGGCTGTCTGGGCTGTGCCACTGGGTACTGATAATRCCTAAAACAAGGCCTGAAACAGAGACCAGACAAAGTTAAGAGAATAAAACCAGACAAATYTAATACATTAAGGGCAGACACTAAAGAAGTACAAGAATACAGRTACAKGAAAATATAGAAGCTAAAAATCCTAAGGCATCAGTGAAACCTCATGGAATGAGTAACTGCAGGGTGGGGAATTTCCCTTTCCATCACCTTCTCCCAATTTTGTACCCTGACACGCTGTTCCTCGGCTCTCTCCTCTTGAATCTTGGCTTTTTTTTGTGGGGATTTGGTGCCTTTACCCCTTCTGTCTTTGCCAAGCAGCTTTCCTGACCTCCTTCTCTCCTTTTCCTGGAAAAAGTGAAGGACCTGAGCAACACCTGCCGAGGTGCTGAGGGTTTCTCTGAGCTGCTCCTGCACTGGAGCCGTGTGGAGATCGGGCCCTCCCCATGACTCAGCGGCGCTTCCTGCTCTGCTCCTCACCCTGCAGGGCTCCTGCCTGTCCGTGCTTGATATCAGGCACAGAACCCTGCTGCAGTCCCTGTTATCCCTGCTCCAGTCCCT